CGATTGACAAAAGTCTCACCATACACACCGAAAAGTGGTCTTACCTATCTTACCAATTGGAAGGTGCCGGCCTGGCGATAAGATAACCGGCCATAAGCGATAAGAAGCCATAAACAGCCACAGCCACCTCGCCGTGGCTTGCACCCAAGCCCTCGACTCATTCCTTTCATAAGATTAAGACGCACTCAACTGGACAGGTATCATAATGGTAGGTGTTTTGCCTCTCAAAATCGATATACAGACAAGTGCTCCGTCACGCGACGGTATGTCTTCCACTTTCTAGTACACAAAGATGAAATCCTCGTTCTTTAGATCCGTCATGTCCTGCAGGCCGTGGTCTTCCTCAATGGCACGGTGTTGAGGTTGGGGGTCCTCTTCGATCTCGACCGCCTTGCCCTCCTGCTTATCCTTGTTGCGCATCATCGACTCGTCGACGATCAGTGTGCTCTTGCCGAGTGCTTCACGACGCTTGGCGTGCTGAACGTTGAGGTACTTGAGGTAAAGAGGAATCAGGCTGAACAACCAGTCAGTCAACATTATGCGGGAGGAGAAAGGAGGGATGTGGCCACTTACGCTCCCATGACTGCAACGAGGACGAACATGATAAGGTTGGAAATCAGACCGGGACGGTACACCGGAGCGTCATCAACGGAATATAACAGCGGTCCAATGATGTTGCCTGTGCACATCCCGATGAAGACAACAGCAGATGTAGTCTTCTTCTTGGTGTCACCGGCGGTGTTTTGTGCCTGCCATGTGAAAATGAGAGGCGTGATGGCAGCCAATGCAGAGACCTAAGTGTCTCAAGTCAGTACGTTGTGCAGCTAGCAGTATCATCAATTGGACCCTTACCAAGTAGTATCCGAACAGCAAGACACCCTTGTGCTCACGCGGTACCGTAAGCATCAGGACGGTACCGATGGCAGGGATGATTGCCACGCCTGCAATGACGATGCCCTTCTTTTGGATCCGAGTGGCAATCCAGCCGCTTCCCATGATGGCGATGATCTGGATGGCTCCAAACGGAATGTTGAACAGGATGGTGGTGAAACTGCTGTATCCAAATGACTGGACGATCAAGTTACCAAAGGTCGAGATTCCACCACTGGCGATGCTGTACGAGATTGTTAATATTACAGCAGTGTCAGTCGAAGGTGGTCCGAGGAACGTACGAAATAGCGATGATGAGAATAAACCAGCACCATGTCTTCAAGTCAAGGAATGTCTCCCAGACGTGGTCCCAGCGCCAGACTCCAGACTGAATGCCCATCTGGTTCGCACGAAGTCTCTCAACGGCGATGACCTTTTCTCTCTCGGTCAGGTACTTGGCAGACATTGGCGAGTCGGGCATGAAGATGAGAACAACGGCGGAGTAGGTGACGGTGAGCAAGCCGCAGAACCTATGTCACGCACAGCATTAGCAACGCATTTCCAGCATCAATATTGTCCGCCTCAACACCGTTGGTCCATGACTTACAGAAAGATGATCTGGTACTTGTAGAGCTTATCGCTGTTAATGTGGCCCAGACCATAGGTGAAGAGACTTCCGACGATGAACGTTACACCGTTCATGGCGTTCCACGAACTAGTGACAAGTGTCTGCTCGCTTCTTCTCCACCAGGTAGTCGTAACAGCCAAGCACGACGGCGCGATCATAGCTTCGAAGGACCCGAGCATAAATCTTAAGCCGAGAAGTGATTTGAAGTCGGTGCAAGAAGACATGATGGCCAGCGAAGAGCCCCAAAGGAAGATGGCAGCAGCGATGACTTTTCCGTTGGGGAGTTTAACGAGGATCCAGGCAGCGACGGGTTGCATGACGAGTTGAGCGATGTACAAGATAGAACCGAGCCAGGAGTACTGCTTGCCGACGAGGTGTGCGTCTTCCTTGATGCCGAAGATGGAAACATAACTGTCGGAGTCGATCCATCAGCGATCCAATTATGTCTGCCGTCCTAGATGCGGGTTTCACTCACCTAAGGGAACTCTTGTCCATCTGCTGGAAGAAATACGCTCCGAGAATCAAGGGAAGAATGCGAAAGTTGATCCGCTTCAGAACGGCTTGCTCTTCCTCGTATGTAAAAGTCGTGTCACCGCCTCCGTGCTCTGCGAGGAACTTTGCCGCCTTTTCTTGGACCGTGTTCGCCGGTGCTGATGGTTCGGGGATGGGCTCGATCGCGTCGACGGCAGGACCGCCGGCCCGCTCCTCGGCCGGAGTTTGAGAAGCCATAATGGATTGTTGCTAGCGCACAAAGATGACCCTGATAGGTGTCGATGAAGTTCAAGAACGACGTGCTAGTACCGTGCGAGTGGTACAGATGTCGAGCACACCTTTTGAAAATGACACTGCAGCACCCTGATGGAAAGAAAGAGAGTAGCGGAAACCCAGCGATGTGGTTCGGGCTCGTTCATCTTATCCGTCATATGCCCTCATGCAACATGGCCCCTTGTCCGCCCCCAATAACCGGTTTCCTCTCAGCCGGAGGCGAACGGCAAAGCCGAGCGTGGAGGCTCAACATCGATCTACCTTGGCAACACCTGACTCCCGTGTTGCGTGTGCCCATCGCATGGTCTCTGTTGGTCTTCTTTGCTAATACCCGGAGATTAAGTCTGCCCTCCAAGTCGGATGGCACGTTGCCAAGATTGCTTGCCGGGTGCTTGACAGAACCCAAGAGATCCCTCGGAAACACCCCCAGTCCAATTTTGAATAATGCTTCTCATTGGAGGGAAAACTCCAGGCTATTTGCGAAGCCGAGACATCAGGGGTCTCTGTCGAATCAAGTGCCAGCTCAACGCCTGAGGGCCGTCGTTGACCTTACGAGTCGTGCGCAACCATGCCAGGCAAATCCAGGCTTAGTGCCAAAGAGTCTGGGGTAACGATCTACCGTTTACGAGCGGGTGGCTGGAATAGCCAAGTTGAGAGAACACAACAAGGGGGTTCCTCTGGGCTGACGTTGCACTTGTTCCCACTTCTTCCCCAAACTCTCTCCGCACGCTACTCCTTCCAGATGTCTAGTCCTCGGTTTACCCCAGTATCCCCGACATTTCCGACATTTGAAGCGGAGAGCCCCCGCGTTCCGCTACATCTTCTCTCCGCAGTGTGGGGATCGTGAGTGTCGAGTGACTGGTCCATGAGTCGGGCATTCAAACCCCCGCGCCCAGAAACGGGTTGCCATTTTGGCTAAATTCGGGCATTTGGGGTATCTGATCCCGAGTATGATTCCTGACGGGGGCCGTCGATTGCCTGAGATCTCGCGGATTTTGAGTGCCATCTGCCGAAGTCATGACGATTGACGACTCCGATAACGCGGGCGTGTGTCTCTCAATAAACTCGCCGTGCCCATTACAATTCATCGTTTAACAAAGGACGCCGCAGTGTACTCGAATCTGACGCTTCCTTGCACTGGACATTCTCATACCCGACCACTTTCAAGCCATCGACACGACCTAAGCACACAACCGACCTCTACAATGGGCGAGTCAACGCAAAAGAAGCGTTATGCCATCGTAGGCACCGGCGGCCGATCGGGCTTCTTCTACACAGCCATTGCAAAGGACTACAGCAGCACTTCAGTCATCGTCGGTCTCTGCGACACGAACCAGACGCGCATGAACTATGCCAACTCAAGATTGAAAGAACTCGGCCACGGCGAGGTCCCGACCTACATCGCAGCCAACTTTGACCAGATGATCAAAGACACCAAGCCGGACGAGGTCATTGTCACAACCATGGACCGCACACACAACACCTACATCGTCAGAGCAATGGAGCTAGGCTGCAACGTCGTCACCGAGAAGCCAATGACCATCGACGCGCCGCGGTGCAGGGAGATCTTCTCGGCAGTCGAACGAACGGGCCAAAAGGTGCGCGTAACATTCAACTACCGCTACGCGCCACACAACACAAAGATATTTGAGATTATCAAGTCAGGCGCCATTGGGAAGGTGACGAGCGTGCACTTTGAGTGGATGCTCAACGAGAACCATGGCGCCGACTATTTCCGCCGCTGGCATCGCGACAAGCGCAACTCGGGCGGCCTCCTTGTGCACAAGTCGACGCACCACTTTGACTTGGTCAATTTTTGGCTTCAGACGCGACCGCAGACGGTGTATGCCCAGGGTGACCTCAAGTTCTACGGACGAGAAAACGCCGAGGCGAGGGGCGTGACGAAGTTTTATACCAGGGCTCACGGGAGCGAAGCAGCCAAAGACGATCCCTTTGCGCTGCAACTGGATCAGAACCCGCAGCTCAAGGCCATGTACCTCGACGCAGAGCACGAGGATAGTTACTATAGAGACCAGAGCGTGTTTGGCGATGGTATCAGCATCGAGGACACGATGAACCTGCTTATCCGATACCGCAACGGCGCGGTAATGACATACTCCCTCACAGCATACGCGCCGTGGGAGGGCTTCCGCGTCAACTTCAATGGTACGGGTGGTCGTCTCGAGGTCGAGGTTGTGGAGAAGAGCTACGTGAACTCTGGAGGTAGCCAAGCTTTGGAGGGCGCGATTGAGAAACGGACGATGCTGCTTAGGCCGCTCTTCGGACCGCCTCAGGAGATCGATCTGGGTGAGGCCAAGGGTGCTCACGGCGGTGGAGATCTTGTTCTGCTTGCGGATCTGTTTGGTGAGCCGGTGTCTGACGAGTACATGCGGGCAGCTAGTCACATTGATGGTGCCGCGTCGATCTTGACTGGTATTGCTGCCAACAGGTCACTGGCAACTGGACAAGCTGTCAATGTCGACGACATCCTGGTGGTGCCCGACAAATGAGTAACACATGTATGAAGGCCAATGATTCAATTTTATGATAATTATGCAACGCAGTAGGATAGAATGAACCACGAATAGATACACATATGAGCAGTGACACTCCCTTGAGTCTTCATCACAATGTCATCTACAGGGACCCGATAACTGAACGACCTAACTATCGGTGTGAGACAGCCAACGTGGAGCATCAATTGATACGACAACGCTCTTGACGCTCTTTGATCATGCTACGCTAACTCACATTCTATCAAACTTTCGACGCCATTGCCGCCACCATAAATACCTAAGATTCTCAAACCAGCCTTCTCTAGGAGACTCTGCCACTCCACCCGAGTACGCTCCTTGCTACTGACTAGCGTCAACATCATGATATCCTGGCCAGTGTTCTGCCAGTCGGCACCGGTGTCGGGGATGCAGTTCTCATTAACCAACAACCTGCTGTATCCAGGCTTCATCGCAGCTGTAGTCCGCGCAAGAATCTCTCCACACTTTTTGTCCGGCCAGTCATGAAGGACCGAATGCATGTAATAGGCTCGGGCACCTGAGTGCGGAGCGCATTAGTCTTGGATACCCTGTACAACAGATAAAATGTGCGTTCTCACCTTTGATCGGCTGCTCAGTGAAGAAGTCATGTCCCATCCTCTCGATCTTTTCGTCCAGTTTCTCAATCTGATTGATAACGGTTGGAAGATCCTGGACCACAAGCCTACCAGGAGCCTCGGGATGCTTTCTCCGGAACTCATCAATGTCATGGCCAAAGCTTCCTCCGACGTCAACAAGGAGCACGTCATCTCGAGAGTCGTCAAAGCCGTCGAGCAACCGGTGTTTCACGGGGTAAATGCCTTCATCCATCCAGCTTGGTCGGCCTTGCCGGTATGTGCCCATGTGCTGTGCGAATTGCATCTCGTAAGGATGGCTTGCTGCGAGCCAGCTGAAGCAGTCGAGTTTGGTGTTGTATCCGTATTGTAGGGGTCCGTTGAACACATCTTTGGGCTCGCGATAGTTGGTCTTCTTAGCGAACTCGTGGAATTTGGCTAGGGACTCCATACAGGCTCCGGCGCTGACGATGACAAGGGTCAGCTTATATTGTAGATTCATAGAAAGGCACGCGCAAAAGATTATAGTTTGTTTTTTAGTGGGTTGGATAATCGGGAGGTATAGATCACTTACACACACGGGTAGCCAGCGCCCATGCTGGTGATTGTGAGCGCATCTGAGAAGTTTGTTGACTTGTATTCGTCTGATCCAGTCTCAGTGATGTAAAGCATCGCGCCGAAATGTCGCATTATTCGTCCTGCATTACGAGAAAAGGAGTCAGTATAGACTCGGTGAGGGAGTAACGTCCTGCGGGAGATGACACACCCAATAGGGCAGGATCGTGTCCTAATTTCAGAGCTAGATCAGACACGTTTTGAGACTTTTTGCTCTGTGATAACAGAGCAAAGAGACCCGAATCAACTGCGTATGTAGGGCTGTGAAAGCGGCTGGCTGGTTGGCGATATTTAGCGAGTGCGTTGAAGTTCAAGAAGAAGGCCATCTTACTTGCGCCCAGCAGTGCTTGATCATGGTCTCCCGCGGTGTCTCCAATGCATGTACCAACAAATGAGCGCTCTGCAGCATGCTCAGGCGTGCAGTGTTATCACCCCCAGCAACTGCGCTGGTAAGATTGGCAATATTCTTCACGTGTTGATTCACGCTTGGAAGGTCGCACGCGGCCAAGGCAACAGATATGTCAACCTCGCAAGGTATCTCGCTTGGGATAGAGCCCATGATGACCAAATATGCAGGTCAATGAGTTCAGATGTTAAAATGATGATGCAATAGAGAGGTGAGTTTAGGTATAACTCGAGGGGTGGAAAGAATCGAGAAATCGAAGGAGAGTGGAGGGCTAAAAGGGCAAATTATAAGGTTTGCCGGACACACTTGTTGGCCACGCAGATATATTGAGTACAAATTATCCTGCACAACAAAATGAAGAGGCACCTTCTACTTATGACAAATTCGCACGAGGGAACAACATGGGTCTGGAACCATATGGAAGTACAGGGCGGAACACATGAGTTGATAGAAGTCCCGCACAACACGGAGGGGGCGAAGAGTCAATTCAACATGGGTTCGCGACATGGTGTGCATGTGAATGTCAGGAATTTTCCTCTTATTATCAACGTTTCATGGATAAAGTATACATAGTAGGTACTTTCAGCAGATGTCTGAGATAGGCACAGTGAGTTTGCAGACCGCATGTCCATAATTGGTTGATACTCCGTCCCCAGCACCAGGAACTGAGGACCCATAGACGTACGTATGTTTGTTGGACGGTCGTGCTCTTGACCCTGTTCCAACGCCGACAGAGATCCAATCCCTAGAATTTACGCAATGTACGTTTGTTGTCGAACTAAATTAGTTTGTGGAAGCGTTCGAGCCAATGAGACTGCCCGGGAGGAGCGGGCAAAGATTCAACGAGGATTCTTTCGACTTAGAATTTTGGTCAGCGCATGGAAATATGAAATCACTCAAAATGCTGCGTGAGTTATCTATGAGGACCCCAGTCGGAGACACCAGGCAGTAGATGTTGTTGTTTGCTGTTGGTTCTGGAGCCTCTCAACACGATCGCCTGATTGGCAACGGAATCAATGCCGGGTGGAGAGGAGCGAGGGACCCCTGGACCATTCGGCGGGGCTGCTAGAGACTCTGCACCACGTCCGGGCCGATGTTGCGCAACTGACAGCTCACAATGCCTCGTGGGTTAATGTCCAACCAACACGATGTCTTTCTTCCGAGCAGACTCTCCTGGTTGAAAGAGGCAATCATTATCGAAAACGGCAGCACCCACACGAGATTGATGGCAAACTGGCTATCATTACTTTGGTCTCGACCTTGAAAATGGGCGAAAGCCTCGGGTCTATTTGACCTAACCCTTGAAACGTTGTTGGGATCAGTGGTACGTTGTCAAGCGACCTTCTTCTTTTCAATTTTGGATCAAGGATGTACGGGCCGGCTCAGGTGAGAGTGCTTGCGTCTGCACGAGGCGATAGACGTCGCCACCGGATCCTCCTTAATCACCATTTTCCAATCCGCGGCACCTCACTCTGCGAGCCTGATCCAACTGCTTCTTGGCGCATATCACCGCAAGAAACCTTTAGCGGAGACGCTGGAGCATTGTCTTTTGTGTCTCGCGTCCGAACCAGAATTTCACTTCCGACGGAGTGAGTCTGAATCCTACCTTTGGGAGTACTGGGACGCTTTGAGTTTATCTTTTGGCCGCAAATCGAGCTCAGTTCTGCAAGATGACAAGTCCGGATTCGACTATAATGTCTTACTCAACAGACAACAAAGGACCTGGAATCATTGTTGCGATATGTATCATTGTCGGTATCAGCACTCTTTTCGTCGCCATGCGGCTGTTTGTCCGCATCAAGATTCTTGGACAAACCCATTTGGATGATCACCTTACTGTCCTTTCTTTGGTTCGTTCAATGAATCCATTCCAAGAAGCAATGCCTGAATCATGAAGATGGCCAAATGTTTAGCTGACACATCGCAACTTGGCTAGCTCCTCAGCTACACGACGATAGCTCTAGAAATTTGGGCCATTCGATGCGGTAACGGTCGGCATGCGGATACCCTTTCTCAAGAACAGCAATCCGCGGCAATCCTATCCACAACATCAGGATTTCCTCCAAACGTCCTCGCATACACTATACCGAAGTTTGCCGTCGTGGCACTCCTCGTGAGGATATTGAATCCAGGAAGGATGCATCAAGTACTGCTCTGGGGCATGGCGACCGGGTGTCTGGTGCTGGTGTCCCTCTGCATCATCATTCTATTTGCTCAGTGCACCCCTACTCACGCTCAATGGGACTCCAAAGTGACAGAAAAGAGCTGTTGGAGTCCATGGGTTCTTGTAAACGTCGCGATATTGACAGGAGGTTAGTGTTCGGTCCAGCTTACGGTGCGTTCGACGTGGCTTTCGCTGACTACAACCCGACTAAGCATACTCCGCGGCGCTTGACTTATACCTTGCAGTTTATCCAGCGACGGTTTTGATGAGGCTTCAGATGAATATCAAGAAGAAAGTGATCCTGAGTACTGCTCTTGGGATTGGATCGATGTATGGAGCCAAAGTTCAATGCGTCTGTTTTCCATTATGACATGTCTGACGGAACCCTCAGCTCTTGCTTCATCTCCATTTACAAAAGTACAAGACTACCATCTCTCGCCAGCGAAGACTTCACGTGTAAGAGACACTTCACAAGCATTTTTGTGCTAACTAACAACCGACTAGATGACAGTGCGGAGCTTGTTGTGTGGTCCATGTGAGTAATCAAGAAATTTGGATTTTTTCATCAGATATGTCCAGCTTACAATCTTGTTAGTGTAGAGGGCAATACTCTTATCATTGCTGCCTGTATCCCAATTCTCGGGCCTCTCGTAGAACTGGCTCTTGGGCGACGCGTCCTAAGTTCAACAGATCGAAAATATCAGAAGCAAAGTGACCCAATGGGATTGCGATCGGGTGGAATTGAGATGAACGGGTCTCGGTCATTTCCAAGGAACGGGAACGTCGTCGGCAAAACAATGACAACTATAGGTTCGCGAGTTGACATGGAAGATGGGAGTAGTCAAGATAGTATTGTCGGGGCGGAGACTGGACCGAGCTCTAGAGTTACAGGGATCGCGAGGAGACAGGACATCACGGTAGCTTATGAGAGCGAACGCGCCGTCCGTGATCAGGGACATAAAGAGAACATGGAGCCAGCAAATTGGGATTCCTTCTGAGACGAGGCCCTAGGCGGTGTTGCTGGGACAAGTTCATATGCACAAGAAGTTTTAGGCCTTTATCCCTCCAGGTCCGCAACCTGATAAGGGTACCTCGCCTTATGCAGCTTTCGATCGAAAGTATCGCGGTGAACATTTCGAGTTCCTTAGTCTATGGACTTCCCCGGAAAACAGGAGTAGTCCTGTTAGCTACTGGATATGAAGGTTCACCAATGTAAAGGCTAATTAAGTGCATGGTTTGACAGTTACTGTTATAAGTGGGCCAAGACAACTTAGGGTTCTATGGGGTGACCTGATTATGCATGCTAACACAGGAAAAGTAGCCGAGCCGGCTTTTTGACGCGCCGGTGGGATCATACATTCTGTCAGATTCGGCTTTTCTACGAGCCCGAACAGACCGTCAACACGAAGGCAACGACCTTCTAGGGTGACTTGGGGATACTGGCAATCAAACTCTCGATGCCGGTCTGACCAGGTGACGGGCAAAACTAAGTCCAATATTGACTAGATACTTTGAAAGCAATTAACTTAGAGCGCACAATCTACACCGCGGCTCTCAAATCGGCCATGTAGTATAGGAGAGGCAGAACGCCCGGAAGTTGATAGTCGAATAAATAGAGGCATTGTTCCAACGTATTGTTGTCCTTCCACAATCAGTATCATCACAGTTTCCACCCAGACTTCGCAAAGAAGACTATTTGTTTCAGGTGAGGGGAGTCGTAACTAAAAGTCACACATCGCTCAGCAGTTGGACTTGTACTTACATGTACCAATGTTCTAGATACCAATCCATTGCCACCAGCATCCTCTTCACCATGAAGTTCTCCTCGCCCATCACTTTCTTCCTCTTAGCAGGTGTTGCAAATGTACGTCGACTTGATTATTGTGGTTGAAAAGCTTGATTATCAACGTTCATGGAATCATTCATACTTGATTATCTCAAAGGCGGACATACGCTGACCTGCATCCTCAACCAGGCGCAATATCGGTGCTACTGCACTGGATCTGGTGGTCCAAACCCTGACACCTTCTCCAACACTTGCTGTGTAACGGGTGATGGTGTCACTTTTCCGGATGGTAAAGACCGTAAAGGTACTTGGCTGAACAACGGCGGCCTCTGCGAGTTCAAAGGGCTACCTTTTACCCAGAATCAATTCATCTCTTCCTACGCAGCTTGCTGCAGCAGCACCGGTCCGCAGACCGGAAACAAGTACGGGGGCAACTGCTTCTAGCCCTAGTATAGCTGGGCCAGACTAGTAAGCTGGATGATAGCAGTGGGATGTATACGTCAGGGGGGTGGGGGGCTTCAAGATTGTATTATTCAGGAATTGTACATCAGCTACCATCCTCGAAGCTATTGCTAGCGTATGTACTTCAGCCATAGTGCAACACTTCATATTCGGCCACTAAGGCCTGAGCAGTTCATTCGCTTGGTATCTCACTTCACTTTAGTGAACCGAAGAAAAGGGAGAGTGTAGAACGGACCGTTTTAGGGGCCCTGTACAATCCTACATTAACTGAGACCATTGCAGTTCTTGCTTTCATGTCTTTGGGAAGAGGCGATACAAAGGAGGGAAACTTATAGTTATTGGCCCCTCCGGGCCTGCTATCGCTCGAGCTTGGGTTTAAATAACAATCAGTGCACCACTGAGTAGAGACGCATGGTACAGCCTAGTACGCGATTCGTAGAATTTAACTCTACCTCCATGATTGCCACTCATCGAATAGTCTTGTCTTTGACATTTGGTACGGAACAAGAGACAAAATCATGGAAACCTCTTTGTTTGAGGCAGTAACTGAGCCAAGCTCAAGAGCTGCAAGACCTATCAGTTGACACATCACCACAGTATCGTATGAGGGAGACGAGACAGCACGTGATCAGGAGCGCCCGAACAAGCGTCAGAGGCGGGTACTTAATTCGATATGAGTGCAGTGCGATGAAGAAAGAGGCAATTACGCATCCAATTCCAACCCAACTAGAAGCCCTGTGT